AATAATATAATACTTCTTTAAGGAGAATATACACTAATTTGATTGCAACACATCAATTACTCAAGATGCACGGCTTTTGGACACTTAAGAATTAAGATTCTCTAATTATTGCCACCAAAATCCATTAGGATCTTCGATACGCAATTGGAAAAACACGCTCTCCTCTGGTAAGACAAATTAATTATAAAGTTTGTAAACATTTATCCGAAGATGATAAGGCAAGCTCTTGCACAAATAACACGAGAACGTACTCCTTTGTTCTAAGGAATAGGTAGAAGTAAAATCAACAACATCACTTTGGAAGCAAAAAACAACACTATTTTCCCTACAACAAATCAGGTGCTGGAAACTTAGTCAACACGAGACAAGTCTGCTTATGTATAGGCTTGTTTATTTATTTATTTATTTATTTATTTTTATAGGAAACATGAAAATCTATTAATACACAAAAAAGTCATAAAAAAGTACATGAGATGACAAGGAGTCCTCTTGATAAAAGTTACATACAAAAAAGATACATAAAATAAAATAGAGATTAAAAGCAAAACTATAAGCCTAGACAAAGAGACACAATAACAAAAACCCAAGCCTCAACTATTGGAAAACACTTCAGGCCAATGATCCTTAATCAAAAATAAAGGTACTCCTTCAAAATCCTTTGTCGCGGTAACCCAAAGAGAAGCCATGAAAATGATTTTATCCCATAAATCTTCCCAAGAAGTCTCTCATATGTGCACATGACTACCCTTGTGTTTCTATTCTAATAGAATCCATGCGTCAAAAAAAAAGAAGGTGGGGGGGGGGGGGGGGGGGTGATAATTCTAAAGACAAATATAGCAGAAAAGGCAGAAAGAAAGAGTGCGTGCCTGAAAGTGATTTTATCCCATAAATCTTCCCAAGAAGTCTCTCATATGTGCACATGACTACCCTTGTGTTTCTATTCTAATAGAATTCATGCGTCAAAAAAAAGGAAGGGGGGGGGGGGGGGGGGGGGGGGAGTGATAATTCTAAAGACAAATATAGCAGAAAAGACAGAAAGAAAGAGTGCATGCCTGCACGTTCTGAAGATTATCTGACTGCAATGCATCAGCCAACTTCAACAAGATGTCAGACTTGTTAACATCTGCATCCTCGATTGTCAGGCAAACATCAATGTCACTTTTTGAGAACCCAAATGAGTTGGCGCATGATCCATAAAGATATAATCGAGCTCCAGGCCATTCTTTGTTGACAAGTTTCTCCAATGATGTCAACAATTGCTTTTGCTTTGTCTTTTCTTCCTCTGCTGGAATTAACGACTCATAAATTGCAAGGAAAGGACCATTTAGCCTATGTATGTCAGCACGGTATTCAGTCTGTCTTTTGAAGTTCCTCATCCTTTGGCTAAGTAGCCATTGTCCTCTTTTATCAGATCTATAATCCTGATCACAAATCACACGTGAGTTTCCAAGAAAGAAATATTCCCACCAGTGCAATATACACCTGCATTTCGGCAAAGCTGCATGCACACACACACTTTCAAAGAGAAATATCATTATCCTAATCAAATTTTATTCAAAAATATTTTCAAATAGCTCCCGTAATGGATTTCTAAATCACCACACAAACGCTCTGGAGAGGAATCTCTATTTGGAGGAACAGCAACTTGGGGCTAAGCACCTCAAACTGTTTATACCTGCATGTACTCCATCCAAAATTTATGAACCAGATGTTACTCTTTTTTTTTTTTTAACTCTAATTATTCCTTTAAATGAGTTTCCGTATTGAAGAAAACACATTGCCCATTGCTGGACTGGAGTGGTAGCCTAGGAAGCGACAAAGATCCGTTATATTTTGTAGTACCTGGATACTGACTGCAGCAGAGAACTCCCGATATTAAAGCTTTTTCCCATGCACCTCAAACCATCCATATATTGTTGAATTTAAAAAACAAATATATTAATTTCTCTTAATTCATTTTGTTCATAATAAAAGCAAGACCAAGTGAAACAAGTGAATTTCCACTCACGGGAAGATTATTCCCCAAATACCTTTGTAAATAAGGTTATCAGTTATGTAAAAATAAGTTTCATTAATAAAAACTATATTATAAGAGAAGAGCACACACATTGAAATCTCATCCTGAATGTCGTAGGGAAATTGATGAGGTCCATTGTGCATTTTAAACAATTTTCTCTATATATAAATCATATTCAAATATATGGCAGTCATTATCCATGATAATTAAAGCAAAAATGTTGAGATCTCGGCAGTTAATAAACATTTAATAACTGGTTGTAGTAAGAACCCCAGTGTCCTCCATTGATCTCACTCAAGACCTATAATGTGTACCTCCAATGCCATCTAAAACATAATAATAGTTGTTCAGTCCCCTGAAAAGGACAGTCTAGAGCAGAAGACTCCCATCATTGTAGAATTTTGAGAAAGTTTATATGTACACAACCATGCCCCTGCATCCAAGGAGATTGTTTTCGTAAATCGGATTACAACACAAAAACATACCCTAGGACCTTAACCTTGCATGCAGGGAGGCTATTTTCGTTACTCAAACTACAACACGAAACAAGGATTAAACAACTGGGACAAAAATATATATTGTGACATGAACAGATGGGTAGATGTATGACAAAACATTGTATCATTTAGGACATATTTTAAAAAATCAAACCATCGGGTGATCGGAATATAAACAGGTTGAGAGAGCACCAAAGGGGGTAAAAAAACACTAAGACATCCCCCTTTTCTTATCATCATATTTCATGTTTACAAGGGGCTGCTAGTTTCTAACAATACTAATGATACATTTCTGCTATAACACTTAATTGGACAGGGTCTAGATGGTTACAATAGGTTGGCAATAATGCAAATGTAGTATCTAATAATCACATACCATTTCTATTGGTATTTGGTGCTGATAACCATTTTGATACGCATTCTATATCTATGGACACCATGTACAAGGGCACAGGCTTGTTAAGCAACAAACTTGCAAGGATATTTCAACCAATTATATTGATTTCACAATGTCCACTCCCCAGATCTCATAAAACTATAAATTTCTAAAGGCAGACAAACAGTAAGAGCCCTTTTTTTTTTTCCCTTTCCTTATCTTTTTTGGGGGTTGCCTAAGGGTTGGGAGTTTCCCTAAAGGAATTCCTTTTCTTTTCATTGTTTTCAGCAAATGGCGTTTCCAAAGCATTTTTAGAAGCTCTTAATTCTTTGGCAAAGTCAAATTTTAAAACCTACACAAACTGATTCCCGCATACATGCATATCCGTATGAGGGGAACAAATTTTCATCTTCTAAAACAGAGCTAGATCACTATACTTGCATTGCTGTACACTGCTTGACCATAAAATATAGAGTATGGAACAACCTCATTCCACTTGTAAAAGTATCAATGGTTTCTCCAATTTTTTTTTTTTTTTTGGCAAGCTCAATGATTCATACAACTGAAAAACCAATAGAGGGCTAGAGTTTCCTAGGTATACATATACCAGGTAGATTTCATAAGAGTGTCCATTAGGCTTACCCTCCAGGATTTTGTGTAATAGGGCACCATATACTGCTCAATCTTTATGTTACCACAAAGATATGCAGATTAAAGCCTCTTCAGGGAAACCTAGTAAAAATTGCAATGCATGTATGGCTAAAACATTTACCTTATCCCGAGATCTATGATGTTGCCTTTTATCATTTTTCTCATCCGATCCATTCTCGAGTGCTAAAGAACCCATTAGCTCTTCGTCCAAATCATCCAATTCACTTTGACCACGACCACCACCCCTCCTCATCTTCTCCTGCATCCCATAGCCAGACTCTTCCTCATCTTCATTGACCTCATGGTGCAATTCGAGAAGAGACCCTTTCACAACTGAAACGGAATGATGATTACTTCCTGCAGACTGGCCAGAGCAATCAAGCTGAACACTTTGCCTCCTTTCAGCTGATACATCACCGTTCACTTTACTATGATTGGGCAAAAATCTTCCCTCCCTCTCATTCTCATCAAGTGAAAGAGTATCGATACCTCTATGGTTCAACATACCAATCTTACTCTTACCCTTATCCGCATTATGTTCAAAACTCCTATTTCCAGATTCTCGATTCCCTGCACTCCTCGGCTTGCTAGGAAACCCTGGTGGCGGCTTCCTCACTTCAGGTGATATATAATTCCCACTAGGGCCTTGTTTCCCCCGCCCACCATCACCACCACCACCCCTACTTCCTTGCTTATGATTTCTCCCTGGGGGGTTCCGATTAAAATCAGGAGATTTTTGAAATTCAACCTCCACACCATCCAATCTTCTATTACTCCCTAAACCCGTTGTTCTCTCTTTCGACGCCAAACCCTCAATTTTCCCTCCATGAGCTAAATTACCATACAAATTGTCATTCGATACATCGTCTTTGCCTCGAAAGCCTTCATCTTTTCGTATTTCACGATGAAAAGAACCAAAAACGATGTTGTGTTCTTGTTGATGAGCTGAGATTGGTTTGGAATTTGTACCCAAAAACCCGAGCTTACGAATATCGTCACCCAATAAGTTGTACTGGTGATTGTGGTGATTGAACTCGGGCGGGGGTGCTGGTAATAGTGGGGATGACCAACTCGGGCTAGGGTTAGGGTTTTGGGGAAACCCATTCATGAAGAAATTGTGTGGAGCGAATTGAGGAGGAGATTGGTGGGGAGTCCAAGTATGAGGCGGAGGAGGAGAACGATAAGGTAGATCGTGACCGTTGGACGGGAACGGAGGGAAGGCAAAAGTCGGTCCCACGACTGCAACTGCAGGATCATGGGGGAGGGTCTGGGTCGGTGGCGGTGTTGGTGGTTGTGGTTGTGGTTGTTGGGGTTGTATTTGCGGTGGTTTTTGGAGCAATTGGAGTAGGAATTCTCCGCCGTTCAACGGCGGAGACGGCGACGGTGGAGCGCCGCCTCCACCGCTCGCCATTGTAGTGGAAGAGAGGTTAGGAATATCAGATTGCAAGACTTGTTGAAGCAATTAGAGATAGTAGTAAGTATGTATTCACGTACACACTACTTCAGAGACAGAGAGACAGAGGAAAGTGAAGAAAGGTGAGAATTTGATCCGACGATGACACATCGCAGGAATCAAAGCTGTAACCTTTTCCTGCGTCATCTCATTCTCATCTGCTTGGCCTTTTTGGTTAATTATACATAACCCCCCCTAAGATTTATCTTTGTCTCGTAAAGACCCACTTAAATATGCAACATAACAGAGTCATTCATACTTGTACAATCCACCGGTATTTAGTATGTCTCGTATCTCTTTAAATATAAGAATTATGAGCAAAAATTCATATAATAGAAAGAACATCTCCTTTGGCTATTCCAAATAATTTTTCTTTAGTCATAGGACGACTGTGATGCTCAAAGAAAAAAAGGCCTAGGGGTACTCGAGGAACAGTGGTGATTTTGAGTCCTAATGGGTGGGTGGTGTTTGTGTTGTCGTGTGCACTCGAGAATGAGATATTGGAAAAAAAAATTATCATTTTGCATGATTTTGATTCAGGAGGAAAAATATGTTAGATTTTGGTAGTCATGCGTGTAATTTAGAGATTTTGTGCATAAAACAATAAACCAAGTCTGAGGGAAGAATGATATATTTCATACTTTAGATGGTGTATATGATATAGTGACAAATCACAGAGGGGTCAAGAGTGTAAATACTTGCTAAATTTCTTTACTGGCCATATCATCTGACATCGGAAAAGGTTGAAAAAGTACAATTATTGAATTCCTCATTCCATGTGACATATTTATCACCCTTAAATTAAAATAATATTTAAAAAAAATTAAAATAAATTTATTATATTATTTCGAATAAAAAATTTGGTATATAAGTTTCTTAAACAAAATATTTTATTAAATATTGAGGCAAAATGCCACTAATTTATAATCATTAAAAATAATATTATAATTCTTATTTTTTAGCCTGAAAAATATTCAACAAAATGATTCAAGATTTTTTTTTTTTTTTATTTTACTCAGCACAATTATTGATGGGAAGTATTCAATTAAATCAATTCAATTCAATCTTATCTTAATTATTTTAAACTCGACTTTACAAAGAGTAAGAATTTATATAGTGATTTTTTAAATTTTAAATTTTATTTATTTAAAATTCAGATTATATTCACTTTGCAGACGTCAAACATCAATCATCGTTAGATTAAAAGCGGGTCCAAGTTCAATCCGTTAATTATGTTAATTAATTAAATTAAAATATAATTATTATCATATTAGTATTGGAAAGCGCATATATAGTTTGAGGCTAGCCATGTAAAGGCTGTAATTCCTATATTTTATGTTGATAAATTAGTGGACTGCATGGGCCTGGACGGGCCCTAAATTACCAACTTAGTTTGGAAGGTATTCAGCTTTAGGGCCCAACAATTTCCCGGCAGACTTTTGAAAAACAATTGGGAAAATTAGAAGGGGTATATCAAATTAGAGTTAATTGTAAAAAAAATTACACATAAAAAAATATAAGGTAAAAAAATTCTTAATTTTTATATTTATTTGTTTTTAAGTACATTATTTGAAATTTCTATATTTTTATATCCTCCCTTATTTCATGTATTTTTTTTTTAGAAAGTGATTCTGTTTTCAAATTATATTAATATTCAAACTACAAAACAGTGTAATAAGACATTTATACAAAATATTGTACTATTACATTTTTTCAAACATATATTTTCATATAATTTCATTCAAAACAGTCCATATTTGTCTTGAATTTGTTACCACGTACACAAAATCACTAAACATTGTTTTTGTTACAGTGTATTGTTACAGTATATTATTATACTGTTTTCGTTACACTATTGCTTAATGAATTTGTTACGTTTTTGTTACGGTGTAAATAATTTTATATTTCAAATCATATAAAAAATAATTAACAAATTTTGAAATTCAAATAAAGTGATAAATCTTAAAATAAACGGAATATTAAAGTTCTCCCATAAAATTATGAGATATTTAATGCATAAATATAATAATTTGAAAACAAAACAACTTTCAAAAAAGAAAATATGTTTGAATGAAGGTGCATTAGAAATTTCAAATTAAATGTCCCTAAATTTCTGCGATTAAGATAAATGTCTTATTACAGTTTTTATGAAAGAAATTTTGAAAGAAAAAGGGCATTTATGTCATTGTATCTCAGCTGTATATTTTTTTTTCAAAACATTTTATTCTGTATAATTTTTTACAATTATATCTAATTTAGTGTACCGACTTCTAAAGGACCCAAAAAAATTCGAGGGCTAGACTCTATCATGGGCCTAAAGGCTAGAGTTTGGGGTTAGGCCTAGTTCTTAGAAAAATTTGTGTACCTAAAATTATTTTATTAACACATATATCAATAAAAGTTACCGATTACCTTAATGCTCACCGTCCTCGCTGTTAAACTTTAAGATATGGGTTCAAATTTTGTCGTCTCCTTTTCTTGTAATAGTGTCCGACTAGATTGTTGTTTCTTGTAATAGTCCTTTTTGGCAGAAAGACAATTTAATATATATATATATATATATATATATATATATATATATATATACAGTGTTCTTCAAGCCATACACATTGCCTTTTTTTCTTCCCCCATGGTTCACTATATAGGAACTATAAAGCACAGTACATCAATAAGGAGGGCATAGCATACAAAAATGGGAAACTACCTACTAAGAAAATAAATCATCAATGAAAACAGAGTTTCCCCAGAAACAAACACAACTTAATACTTGAATTGACATCATAAAGAAAACAAACCAATGGTATATCACCTTACATTATGAGTGTGTGGAAGCTCCAACACACTTGGCAAATGATATTTTCCAAAGGATGACTTGTACCATACTCATAATAACTACATAGATCCAGAAGGCTAATGGAAGAATGGAAAAGTCTTCCCTACTAACAACAAAATGATACATCATAAAATAATTCGCATTGACAGTGACTAAGATAAAGACCGACCATCCGATTAAAAACCGATTCCTTTTCTCCAAAAATATCAAATATAGTTACAACCCACTAAAACATGAATCGACTACATGGTACAACAATATCATTGTCATCAATTCATCTTTATGGGTCTAAACTAAATTTGACTATTTTGAGGAAACAAATCACTCTTTACTTGAATTATCCATCATGGAGGTCGATATTGATCTTAGTATGACAATAATATTATTCTTACCCATACTAGTAATTGCATCAACAACATTACTCTTTAAGTTGATTCAATGAATTGCTTCACTTCATCATGCAAATCTTGGGCCTTTTTGGGATTAAAGACCTCTACACCATGGTGGCCTCCATCATCAAACCGGGTCACCACGTGCACACCAGATGACTCCAACAACTTCACGAACTCTCTCTGTCTATCAAGAAGTGGGTCCCCACCATAACCTTTGACCAAGCTCCGGCATAATTTTCCGACCTTCTCCCTCTGAGACTCGCCGGCGATTGATGGGTTACAATACTCATGATCACGATCAGAATTCTCCGGCAACGATAAGGACCACATCAGATCATTCAGAGAGAGAGGTATGATCTTATCATCGGAAAGTCTTGTCTCCGATTCAGTCCTCTTCACCCCACCAAAGAACGGTTGGTTCATAATCAACCCTTTGATTTTCACCGGCGTAAGATCAATATCGAGCACACGCAGAGCTGCGTAGTAGACTATATTAGATCCTGCGCTACTACCCATCAAGAAAACCCTAGAAAAATCGGCCAAATCTTTCAGCCACGGATCGCAACCGTTGATTCCCAATGCCTGGTCTCGGACCCACGTGATAGCTTCGACGGCGTCATCGTACGCCGCCGGAAGATGGTGTTCCGGCGCAAGACGGTACTCGACGGAGACGATCAGAGCTGGGAACTGAGCTGCCATGGCGTTGCATGATTCGTGAAAGGGTTTAGTACTGACACTGAAGATTATGAACCCACCTCCATGGAAGTAGATAATGATGGGGAGCTTCGAGTTTGGAGGAAGATTGCAAGGTTTGAAGATGCGAATGGAGGTGTTGGTTGTTGGGTTCAGAGGGATGTCTTTGGAGAGAGCGATTTGGGTTGACTTTGAATCGTCACCGGTGGTGTCTTCCGGCGTTGCAGGAAGCTTTGGAAATGGTTCGATTCGAGTGAATGAGCCATCTGGGTTTGGATAAAGTTCAACGGGCGGCACGGAATCGACGGATGTCTCTGCTGTGGACGGTTGCTCAGCCATGGTTGATTGGAGAGGAGAGGAGAGAGAGAGCCTATATGAGGTTTCGTTGCAGCCACGAAGGATTTATAAAAATACTTCACCATAGATCTTCATTCCACTCGAGTTAGGCGGTGGGAGTTTAATTTTTTAACTAAAAGTCAATTATTTAAATTAATTTTTTTTTTTTTTAATTGGGAGTTCTTGAGATCTAAAATGTGCAACAATAAGACCATAAATTTAATAATATCAATAAGTCTAATAGCATCTAAATCCCTTCAATATGATTTTTTTAGTAAATCATTTATCATTTATAAAGGATTCGAATTTTTTTACTATTAGTTTTTTAACAATTGGGGTATTTTTCTTTAAAATGATATTATTTTATTAAATAGAATAACATTGCTTTAATGTGAAAGAACATCATTTCGAAAAACAACACCGCTGTTGTATAGTAGAGGATCCAAACTCTATTTATAAATGACTCATTTATTTATAATGATCAAACTCAAATTTGTGAGAAATGATTTGTTAAGAAAAATATATGGCTAAGAATTAAAATTTCGTTTCAGTGTATTATTTTAATTACATAAAAATAGAAGCATTATAGAAATATATTGGGAACATTTCAAAAATAAAATGAGAATGAAGAAAAAAATTAAAAGTTTGTTTTCGAAATATTAGTTAAAATATACCAAAATATTGATCGACATATCCAAAATATCTCAAAAATACTTCAAAATATTCTGAAACACCTTGCACTCATGTTCTATGTGCTATTTCAATCCCACGTTCATTGCACCCACTACTAATCCAAAGATATATAAAGTGGGATAACTCTAGTAGAATAGGATAAAAAAATATGTGGGACACATATATCCCACATTTGTTAAGTAAAAAATACATTGAAAATCTCATTTGAATTTTATTTTAACCCGATTTAAAAAGTAAACTTTAAGTCATGTACATGGGTTAAATGAAACCCAAGGGGTGCAGGAATTTTTTTTGTCAAACTCGATAACTAATACAAATGACTCAATTGGCGTGTTCTCTTATCCTTCTCTCTCTTTTTCTCGTTTGCTTTGTCTTCTCTTTTTGTTTTTCATAGATCTAATTTTTTTGTAACAAGTTTGTTTTGTCAAAACAAAGCTCCGCCGGTATACCTCAAGAAAACCAAGACATCTTCTACAATAAGACAATTAATTTAAATAATAAACTAACAATAACAAAGCAATATTTTATTTGAACTAAGAATAATTAACAACTAATAATAAAATAACTAATTAATAAAAGTTTGAATTAATTCTCAATAGTCCTCGTAATATATAAATATTCGTTTAGAGAATATGAAAATATACTAATTTTAAAAATTACATGTAAGAAAAATTTATTTCAAATTGATCAAAGACTAATTTATAAATCAATCATGGTTTTGGATTGAATAGGTTAGAGATAAAAACAGTCAATGGTATCATATTCCATCACCCTTTTATGTGGGTCTCACAAAAATGATTATGTATTATCCAAACACGGAAAATAGTAAGATATAACCATTAAATCTTAATCAGTCTAATAATAAATGAAATTTAAATTAAAAAAATATATATTTTTTTAAATCATCAATCCAGTACAAACCTGTTCTCACCCCCCAAAGGTCTATATATCTACAGGCCAACTTTGACTTCATACGTGATCAGGTTAAATCTCATCATTTATTATTTTTTTGACTTCTTATTTGTTGGTGGAGGTGACGGCAGGAAATGAGAAGAAACTTTGGGCCGAAGATTTGGGAACATGTTGAATTTGTCTGCCTCTTCCTATGGATGACCTCTAATGTCCACCTCTATAGAACTTTTGTTTCTCCTAATTTAAACATGTTTTTTTTTCATATAAAATTTTTAAATTTGTGTTGACTACTCGCTCGAACTTAGTAGCTAGGCTTTAAACGTCACTTTTTAGTTATAACTAATATAAGTTATTACGTGTGTCAACAAAATATTAATATATACAATTACTATAATACTTACACATACAATGGAATCAAATATTTATTCACCCTAGCGACATTATATTGTAATGCCTTAAAATTCACCATAAAAGATATTACTATCTACAAACTATTCAACCATGAGAGCAACTGAAAATAACCTTCTAAATGATAAACCATTCATTCATTCATTAAATAACAACCATTTAAAGACAGGAAAACATTAAACTTCTTCAAACTTACAATTCAAAACTCAAATAGTATTTAGAAGTAGAATAAATAGAATTAGTTGAAACATTGTTTCATCGAAATCTCTCAATCTCTAAACAAAAATAAAATAACTATATTCCTCTAAGACTGGTTCCACATTTTAATTCTCCACCGCCTTATAGTTCACCTACTCATTTACATCAACATTCTCTTCTATTCCATAATTTGTAAATGCATGGTTGTAGAAAGTGAGCAAAAGCCTCTAAAAATTCTTTTCAAACCCAAACTAGGTTTTAAAAACAGTAAAAAGAAGGAAAGTCACTTTTCAAAAATAGCATAGATGTTTTGTTTGAAAGTAAAACAATGACGGTTATAATGATCTCAAGTGTATGGAATACAGTAGATCAATAACAGGAATACACATGTCAGAACTAAAACAATCAAATAATAACCCAATAGAATCATTCCACATTTTCATATATGTTGTGTATCTCATGTATGTTATGTACCTCATGTATGTTGGTTACTTTTCAGGAATCTACACAATGATTTTACTGCGTTCACACACCAGAATCATTCAATCTCAATCATTCTCCGCATGGCCAAATCACAAACCACTTTAGGAATGTCGTATCTCAACCACAAACCTATGTGAATAATAGTAATTGCACTTACAAACAACAATCTACTACAAGTGTTAAACAATCATCTCACTTCCACTAGTATAGACTAACTTCTAACATTCTACGACAGGTCTCAAAGGCAATTCAAGTTCGTCATACTCAAACCATACAGAGATGAGAAACCACAATTTTATCAAAACAAATATTCAACTAATCACGATTTCCTTCAAAATACATGTAGCACAAGTTTCACAATTCTGAAGGTACAAGAATAGTGGTGTTAAAATATGTAAGAGATCATATCAAGAAAAATTTTATAATTTGGATATCCAAATTCTAGGATTTTGCCAAAAATCATGATTTCTTGGAATAAGAAAAAATAGTTAATTGAAAACCTAATTTAACCAATCCTAGCTAGGAATTTAAAAATCAAGAATCAATAAGTCTTTTACAATAAAATAGGCGTTCAGGAAAAACTAGGATTTTCGAAACCAAGAATAAGAATTCCTTGATTACAAACATATATTTTGTTAAAAACTATGTTTCAATCGGAAAGAAACCAAGAACTCACAACTATTTTTCATATAAATCAATAAGATTGAAAACATACATATATAATACCATAAGTCTCGATAAAATAACTCAAGAAGAATCTTCTACCTTTAATCTGTTGTTTGTGTGTAGTTTTAAAGTGTTTGATTCGTTTCAACGTGAAAATCTCCCCCTTTCTTCCTCTTCTACCTTTTCTCAACTATAGGGTTTACTAGGATGAAAATAAGGTTAAATAGTCCCCAAAAGATGTCCCTGGGTTTTATTGAACCCTAAAATCAAAGAAAACGCGTGAAATTGATCGGGGAGGTGCGTTCGAACGACTATCTTGTGTTTGAACGGAGGCAGCAATACCCATACATGTGTTCGAACGATCGCTCGTATCATCAGAGGCACTGTTCGAATAGTGAAAACTCACCCAACCCTGCATATGCGTTCGAACGGGGGATGTGCGTTCAAACTGGAGATGTGCGTTCATATTGTCAAAGCACCGTTCTAATGGCACTGCACCATTCGAATGGTGGTAACTTTTTGTTGCTAACTTATGGCTCAATTTTGATCTAGTTAGAAGCCGATTAACAAAATTTTGTGAAAAATATTTTTGTAACCTTGTAAATCTAGTTTCTACTGTAAAATTTTCAAGTCAATCGGACATCGTTAGAAAAAGTTATAAGTAAAATATTAATATAGTGTCTAATCTCTTCCTATCCAAATTCTCTCATAAAATGTGTTTTAACTCTGAAATACTTTTAAACCTCTAATATACCCTATATTATCTCTCTCAATGTTTCTCGACCTTCTAGATTCAATGAAAATCTTATTATAATATAACATTAATAAAAACTTGTCTAACCACCCTTCTCAAACTTAAACGGCTCCAAAGGCGACCAACTTTCAATACTAGTTGTTACCATATGCTGTCATTTTTTCAATATTATGGAATAGCATGGCCTAGAGCTAAGATAGCTCAAGTGGGAGAGTCGTGTTGCGGGTGACCTTATTGCACGGTTCAGAGAGCACTTGTGTATGTAATACAAGTAAACGTGTACGAAAAAATTGTCGTAAAGTTTTGTTGTTTGTTTCGTTATCGGCCTTATTTATGTTTTTATGATGGCCCAAGAACACGCTCATTTGACCAGAAAGTCAATTTACGTGAAACTCAAATTTCATAATTAATCTTTAAACATTAATTTGGGGTTTCTATTATCATTTTAGAAGTACTATTAATTTCATGTCATTCATCTTTAAATTTTATATGGGATTTTACATTTGTTAATTTCTCTCGGTGCTTATATCACTTTAATTTTCTCTCCCGAAATTGTATGTGATCCCTAATCTAACTACATATCACTGTCAACATTAATCCACACATCTGGAACCAACAAACCAAAAACTGATAGAATTTGAACATTTGAGAGGATTGTGAACTATTTTTTCGAAAAAAAAAAAGATCTTACTTGTTCTTTAATCAATCATTTTTGCTCATTTTGAACCACTTAAATAATCAATTGGTAGGTTAGATTGATATCCATATTAACCTACTCCATGTAGTACATACGATGAAATCATTAGTCGCTTATTTGTGTGGGGAGTATTAGGGTATTGAAATATATTTTTAAGTTTTGTATATCTCTTTTTTTTTGTCAGTGAAAACACGTCACATGTGTTTATTTTTTTAATCTTTAATTATAGATCATTTAATTCAAAATC